CACAGAAAGGATGTTTCTTCGAGAATAATTAGTCACCAACGTTTACATGAGTTACAGGAAGCAGAGCAACTGTGCAATGTGTGGGATTCATCTTAGGAACAGTCCTATTTCCATGGATATCCAAAGCTGTCAGACCAATGAACAAATCCAAAAAGGAGATGGTTTCCTCCTCCAGAAGCACCACGCTGTGTTTCAATAGATGCACCTCTCCATTTTAGAATACTCACTGAACCACTGCCAGATAAAAATACATTGCTGACATCTGAAATGTCTTATTGCACTTAGAAACTGTTGATTAAAGGAGGAAAGATCAAAGAGAGAAAGGTTGCATTTACCCCCCAGTGATTAATACTGGCATTACCTTCAAGAGGCAGCAAAACTGCCAAAACTGAGAAATTAGAGGACAGCCTTATGCTTTGCACACTTCAGATGTCTGAAAGTTCTTTGCTTCTAATCAATGAGGCTGCAGCCTCACATTCTTCATTCACATCTGAGGCTTTCTTTCCGTAAGCCTGGCTATTGGGGTCACTGTCAGTGGGCATTTCCACATCATTATCCAGTCTGAGACCTTGAGATTTTCCTCATAAGGAAACACAAGGAAACATGAGTTGGGTGGCATACTTTCACTCAAGTTCTTATCCCTAAACAGAAGCACAGTGGGCTCTCCTGTATCCCACTGACTAGGAAACCAAGACACAGGTGCTTCCATCTCCTAACCTCCTGTATGCTGCTTCCAAGCAACACAGGAGTTGGGAGTTCATCTCCCCATTGTCTGTGCACATGGCCTATTTACTGAGCACCTGCCTGTCTGCCCTCACATCCTGCTTCCATGGGACTTTCCACTCTGAAATTGCTGCTCACACCTCATCTTGCCTCAGCCATTCATTCAAGTAAAAGTATTCTATATAAACTGAAATAAGAAATACAGAAAGGGTTCTGCATTTGCTGTGGGTAAGTTTTGAAAACTGCATTTCTTTTGTATAGAGTCGGTATCCAACCTCACAGTAATCAAAAATCAGCACTGTGGTTCATGCACAGGGCTGGGCATCAGATCATTTACGTTCTGGCCTCGGCTCTGTCTTAGACTTCCACTATGCCATAATCACTTAAATTCCACTCTCAGAGGTGACATTTAATTTGGGATAAGCCAGCTTTGTCTGCTAGACTGTAGTATCTGGAACTCAGTTTTCAGAAGGTGGTTTCACTGACTTCAGCTGGTATGAAAAGAACTCAAAATCTTTGCAGATCAGATTCCCAAAAGCCTGAATGGTTGTTATCCAGGTGCTCTGCAAAGCATCCATAAAATGTTACTGATGGCATAATGGAGAACTCCAATTTATGAATACTTTGCACATGCTACGCATCCTGAAACAACTACAGGTGTTTTAGGGCAGTGGGGGTAGAGTGCAGAGCACACAGGGGCTTACTGTGAATGAGGTGATCAGTGCTCAGGATACCTTGCCTGCACGTTTCAGTGCATGACTTGAGGCTGTCAGAAATGAAAGTGCTTCAAATAAGGAGCCATAGCTGAAAAGACAGATTTTCCTCTACCACAGAGGCCTCTGTGGCCCCTAAATTCCAGTGAAGTCAATGGAAGTATATGTCCTACAGGGACCTGGGCTGTTGTGACCAAGTAGCATCATATCCTGTGATCAAAATCAATTACTATTTACAATGTCTGAATTCTATCATATAACTTTGTCTGTATTTTGGATGGTAGATGCCAAACACACTTGGAATTCTACAAGGAATTGAAACTAAAATTTCAATTTTAGAGGGGAGATTTAGGTTAGACGTTAGGAAGAAATTCTTCTCTGAAGGGATGGCGAGGCCCTGGCACTGCTGCCCAGAGCTGTGGGTGCCCCATCTCTGGAGGTGTCAAGGCCAGGTTGGATGGGCCCTGGGCAGCCTGAGCTGGTGGGGGCAGCCCTGCCCACGGCAGAGGAGTTGGAGCTGGATGATCTTTAAGGTTCCCTCTGACTTAAGCCATTCTGCAATCCTATGATTCTAAAAGTAAATCCAGCAAAATGTGACTTTTATGTGCTCTCATATTTGTCTGGAAATGAATCAACAAAAACAAAAGTTTATACTGTTACCCTGCGATTTTCTCTGTCTGGTGAAGAAATGTTGTGGAAAAATCCCCAACAGCACAATCCTGTGCTTAACATACTTTAATAATACATCTGAACATCTCACTCAGCAATCCCAGTGCAGCCTACACCGGATAACATAATCGAGGTGAGGAAGTTTGGCAACTACATTACTGCTTCCAGCTTGCATGACTCAGACTGGGTGGTGCTAACAGGGAGGAGAATCCTGTCCTTTTTCTCAGCAGAAATTCAGGCCTGCTGAGCACTCTTACCTGACACAGTTTGACACATGAGCTGTCTTCTCTGAGCATGAAAATTCCCTGCACGGGCTCCCACTACCACACCGCTTCTGGCAAATGACTGAGTTTGGGTTTGATAACCAAAGATATTGAAGATATTAAAGATCTAGCAAAGGTTGGAATCCCTGAATGCTGGTGATATAGCCATGCAATGCTGGGGGGGTGCGTTGGATGTGTTGGCTTATCTGCCCCTAAAACATTAACTATTTGAGTACATAAGTTCCTGTTTCCCCTGTTTCATGTATATCTAACAAATTATACTTGGTGTTTAGTCTATTCTAAGGTGTGCTTTCTTTGAATCTCTATTTTCTTTTGATTTTGACAAATGATGTAATTTAGAGACAAAGGTAAAATGCCTCAGCAGGAAAGAAAACAGATTAACTAAGAGAAAAGAATTAATACCAGCACTTCTGTAGGGTGTCCTTCTCTCGATCTGACAAACAAAACTGGAAGCAGCCTCAACAACATAGGGTCTGGCCCCAGTTTTGCCAGCCTGCACAGAGCTGGCACAGGCAACTCCTACTCACCCACCCTGCAAAGGCTGAGAAAGAAGCGAAAGTGGGACTGGAATTGCATCATTTCCTGTGCTTTTATACTCTCCAAGCTGCCACTTTGTTTTGTTAAGGACTTTTCTCAGGCTGATCAGACAAAGAAGAGATGTCTTCTGTTCCTCCTGGATCCTCCTTTGCCTGCCATACCAAGCAGAGCTCTGTGTGCATCAGTAGCTCATTTTCCCTTTCTGTTCCGAGTGCTTCCTGCTTCTGTTCATAGTTTCTCTATGCCTGCACAATAGGATGAAGGCAGGTCTCCTGACTGGCAAGTTCCTAAAAATCTGTTCAACTCAGTACAAGACAGATGCAGTAAAAGCTTCAGGACTCCACTTAGTCATCATACTTTGCTTATCTTCTATCACAAAGCCTCGCCCTCTCGCTAAAGCCACAGCAAGTCACTGCTCCATCTCCTCCTAGGAAACAGTGGGTAGTTCTCTCTGTGGCTTCACAAGCAACAGACAGTGGGCTCTAGCTTTCTGGCAGAGATATTTTCCATTTACACAATTTATGTGCAGGTTACTTTGCAATTTACAGCAAGAAAACAAAGCTGTGAAGTATATGCACAAATCTACTCTGACAATAGAAAAAAATACATGTTATTTTCTTCTTGTTGTTTATTTCTTTACAACCTAGAAAGCAAGTTGCACTAACTAGAATATACATCATTAGAGCTATGTACAAAAGAAATACCAAACCCTGTGTATTTTGGATATAGTTAAATTAAATCTCTCCTGCGTATTTTATGCAATTAGAATGGCTCAAGCACGACACAAATACTGACACTGCAGAGTTTCTGGGAATGTTGTGCTGTTCCTTGATGCCATTCATGCAGACAGCAGATCTTCTCCTCCAGTTGTGTACCAATGGATGCTCTCAACTACCCTGCTTGCAGCAAAAGACACTGACAAGTACAGAACATGACAAAACGGCTCTCCCTACTACTAACAAGGCTGCTCTGGTGCTCTGCGACTTCCTCCTTTACAGCCACTGCATTTTCCATTTTCTTTTGAACACAAAGTAACATCTCAGTCCAACTAAATTAGTAAAGAAACTTTTAAAATAGACTTTTGTGCAAGCCACGTTACATTTCCTCTCCTGCACTGCATGTGACCTTTAATAAAACACCAAAAACTTTTAAGTCTATTCAAAAACACAGCAACAGTTGGTAGCAAGAACAGCCATGCCTACACTGTGCAGTACGCTGTGCAGCACAAGTTCCTCCTTAACAGGCCTATTTCTGGTGCAGAACTTGTGCCCCTTTAATGTGTCACCTTATATGCTATGCTAGATGCAGCAAATTAACCATTTGTTTTGCAGGGATTGGCAGACTTCAGTATTACTGTTTCCTGGGTGACTTTAATTACACTATGATTTCTGACTGCAGCTATCAGATTAATCCCTTGGGCTTCCTTAACTTAAATCCCTGGTAGAAAAAGGCTTATGTAATAAAAGCTGCGGGGATGTATATTAATGTAATACAATTAAACTAATAAACATTTTTTTTGAGTTCTACTGAATGTTTAATCTCAGAAAAATTAGCAAATGCATCATTTCTTTGGTTTTTTTTTTTTCCTTCAGGTCTCCTACATAAAGGCTAGTTTATCTCAGAGCAGAGAACGCCTCGCTACGTAAGGAAACATAGTGGAAGCATTCTGTCTGACTGATCAGCAGAGGATTAGAACTCAAACTGAAACACTTCTCATTCAGAGAGCTCAAGTGCTTTATTCATGACCATAAGCATCATATGGCATGGTACATATCCAGCTCATTAAACTCAGATTTGGGAAGGTTAAGCCATGTGTCCAGAATTACATAGCAAGTCTAACAGTAGAATAGGAGGCAGAGGCTACTTCCTCAGTCTGAGCCCTTTACAATGGATTCAACAAGATGAGTGACTTCAGATAAATGGATCAACTAATTTTTCTGGGTGAAGAACTGCCTTTTAAGGCAACTGTTATACGTATCTGTTACATGTATCAAGCCACAACGTAAACCCTTTGCTTGTACGAATATGAAAATGTCACACATTGAAAAATTGAAAATATTAATGCAAAACTTACCTGTATCACAGTGCAATTCATATCCAAGTACAGCTGCTGATGCTCCAGAATGACCAGGAAGTCATAGAATCACAGAATGGCCTGGGTTGAAAAGGACCACAATGATCACTTAGTTCCAATCCCCTGCTATGTGCAGGGTGACCAACCACCAGAGCAGGCTGCCCAGAGCCACATCCAGCCTGGCCTTGAATGCCTCCAGGGATGGGGCATCCACAGCCTCCTTGGGCAGCCTGTTCACAATGGGGAAGGAATAGACAGAACAACTTGTCTGCATAACCTAAGATAATAAAAATAGACACTTTTCAATGGCTCTTTCAAACTTTTCCATGGTATTTGCAATGTTTCTCACAATTTTGAAATAAAGACATTATCTAAAGTCTTATCAGGTCATTAAAACAAAAGCGAAACATTTCAGCTTCCTGACAGCATTAGGCTTTTTTCTTAAAGAGTAGTCATTCATTTAGTGAATTCAAATTCTGATTATTATTGTTATCGTTGTTTAGAGAAAGTGACCTTTTCTCACTGTGTTGGCCTCGTCACTGAAACAACAAGCAGGGGAATGAAAAAAAAACACTGGATTTTGCAAACGTTTTGCATTGCAAAAAGTACTACAGAAGGTCCACAAAACGCTCCTGCGAACACGATGCACTTTGAAACAATAACAAAGAATGCAAAATACAAAGCAATTAACAAAATACGGCTTTCAGCCCATATTATTAGCAGTTAGAACATGATTTACTAAAAACCCTTCCCAGCTCCATCTCTTCTCTCCATTCTCCTGTACACCATTTTCTGCACACTGACAGAACAAGCGTGGTGTTACAGAGGTACAGAGGCCGCTAGTGTACAAATTCTGAATGATGCTTATTTGTCAGAAGGAAGCATATTCCCAATTCTTAAGCATCTGCAAAATCTGTTTTCGTAGCTCTTTCCTCTCTGGGAGGCATCAGTTCAAAAGGTAATCTGGGTAAGAAATTGCTTTCTCTTGAAAGGATGCGTTATGCCTATAAAAATGAGGATATATATGTATACATGTGGAATTTATGTGGAAAATTGATTTTTTTTTAAACCAATTTACCTCTCTCTGCAACGCTGACTGCTCCTACACTGTGCTGCTTAACTCAGGCACGTTCGGAAGCTGGATGCCTCGCCACCTTTTCGTTCTCGATAGCCGAATTTGAACCGTTTTCAGAAGTTAACCCCTGCGGCACGCCGCCTGCCATTTCCCATGTGGGGGATGGTGGGACCATGGCAACGGCGGTGGGCGGGGTTTATAGGCGCCCGCCCGCTCCGATTGGCTGGCGGCGGGGCGCTGACGGCTTCCGGCGTGCGCGCGCGGCAGGGCGGGCGGCAGGGCGGGCGCGCGGCCCGGCGGCGGCGTCGTGCGGTGACGGTGCGGCGGTCGGGCAGACGGACGGGCGGAGGGAGGCGCAAGGATGGACACGCTGGGCAGGAAGGTGGTGGTGTGCGACAACGGCACCGGGGTGAGTCCCGCGAGGCGGCGGCGGCGGGAGGGAGAAGGGCGATTCCCCCGGGCCGGCTTCCTGCCGGCACGCCCGGTCTGCCCGCCGCGCCCTACGCGGCCCAGCGGCGGGGCCTGCGCCGCGGTGAGGCGGCGGGGAATGAATGGGCCGCGGGCGGAGCGGGGGCGGCGCCGCCACCACCGGGCGCTCCCAGCTCGGGGCTCGCTGCCGCCTCGCCGCCCGTGAGCGCACACGGCGGGAGTTGGTCGTCCGCTCGTAGCGTGGAGGCAGGAAGTGGCAGAGATCGCATCGCGGACCGTCGGGAGGGGTGGCGGTGTGTCCCGTGTGCCCCCCCCCCCCCCCCAAAATAATGATAGATATGTGTGTATTTATTTATTTTTTTAAGCGTTTAGAAGACAGAAAAAAGGAAATGTTTAAAGCCAAGGATGGGATAGCTGAGACAAAGGATGGCGTTGTTAGGGATTCGGCCTCCTGAAATGCAGAGCGTGCTGTCAGCACTGCAAGTGATGAGAGCGGGGATCTGACAGCGCTGTTCTGACAGTCCTGGTGCCTTCTCCTGGAGGAAAGAAGGCTGCGGGGTGACCTCATTGCAGCCTTTCGGTACCTAAAGGGAGCCTACAGACAGGAGGGGAATCAACTCTTTGAAAGGGTAGATAACAGCAGGACAAGGGGAAATGGTTTTAAATTGAGGGAGGGGAGATTTAGGTTGGATGTCAGGGGGAAGTTCATTACAGAGGGAGTGATGAGGTGCTGGAACAGGCTGCCCAGAGAGGCTGTGGATGTCCCATCCCTGGAGGTGTTCAAGGCCAGATTGGATGGGGCCCTGGGCAGCTGGGGCTGGTATTAAATGGGGAGATTGGTGGCCCTGCATGTGGCGGGGGGGATGGAGATTCATGATCCTTGCGGTCCCTTCCAACCCTGGCCGTTCTGTGATTCTCCTGTTTTCCCCTTTTTAAGGAAAATGAATAGGGCTGAGGGTCAGCTGGCACTTCCCACAGTACTGTTTAGAAAAAGACGGCATTTCCCCATTTCCTCCCTTTTTTTTTCTTTTTTTCCCCCTTTTAGTGCTTAATGCTCTACTCGTCAGGCTTGGCCCACGAGGCACATATCTCAGGAACCCTCTCCATCCTTCAGTGCTGCCCTTCTGGTGGCAGCGCAGCACTGAGCTGTAAGGCGCTTGGCTGGAGTTGGTGACACCAGCACTGCACTGCTGGGTATAAATAACAGGGTGAGGTGCCTTTATGCTGCTGTTAGGGGCCTGGAGGAGGGGCCAGCATCACTTCAGCTTCTGTTGGTTTAGGTTGCATTTACCTCCGAGCAGAACAGTGCATATCTGCAGGATCAGCTCTGTGCAAGAACAGGTATCAGGACACGGCTGTTAAATCAGTCAGCTTGAAATATTTAGGTTAATTTAGGATAATTAAACTGGAAGAAAGTTTTGTTCTTGACATCAGAAAATGCTTGAAACCTCAGCTCGGAATTGAATATGTCAAATTAGCCCTACTTTGTCAAAAAGGTGTTTTTCACAGTAACTATTTTCATGTGTGACCAAGAGGACCTGCTTTATGTCAAAAGGATTTCTGACATTTATGGCATCACATGTCATAATTAATGTGTGAAATTAAGTCTCTGGTCAGGAGCCAGAAATATTGTGTAAAAATGGAGACTAGAAAACCCAGATGCAGCTTTAACTTTAAACTTGAATTTACTGCTCTTGTTGTGCTGAAATACAACCTTAATGTGGCTTACTGCTTTGAGGAAGAGGTGACTAGGAGGAAGTTCTTGCAACATGTAGTGCAGAATAGAGGCAGGCAATGGCATCTTGACAGCGAGAGTGATAGAGGTGGATGTTCTGTTATAGGACAAGCAGAAAGTAACTGAGTGGCCAGTAGTATTTCTCTAATAGTATTTAGGGTTTTTGTTTGAGAATTGCATCAACTGAAGGAATCAAACACAGCCCCCGATAAGAATATGAGTGTGTTCATTTTAAAGCCTGTCACGTGATGTCTGTGAGCTTCCTCATTCTTTGCTTTGAAAGAACACTTATATGTTCAAGTTCTTGCTGCTTGATGACTCAGTAGGAAGTGAAAGAGTCCGTGCAAACCACAGTGCAATGGAGAAGAAACTATATATGGTAAAATGGTCATGCGGACAGGCAAAGCAAGTAGCTGCTCTTAAAGCATTTTGAATGTATAGCAGACACTTGCAAAAATGACTGATGGTGAACTTTGGCTTCCTTGCCAAGATGTGTATAAATACATCGAGTGTTGATTTTAATGTTTGAGCCATGGTGTACACAGTGCTGTACTGAAATCATTGGCTAATTGTTCCAAGGGCTGCACAGAGAAGGGATGGCAGAGCAATAAGCACACTGTACTTCAGTTTTAATAGAGGGCTTCACATGAGGGTGGAAAGAACGCCACGACTATTTAATATTTGGCTCCAGATGATTATATTCCAAACTAGTTTATAACCTTCAGTCAAATGTTTTGAAAGATCTTTTGTAAGAATTGGATGAGCATCATATGTTTCTTCTTCAAAAAAATCCAAGACAGTTCAGGATTTGTTACATGGATACGTGTTTGTTGCTGAGGTGCATTTATCTGTTATCAGCTATCTCTTGGTAGTTTGATTAAGTGTCCTTCTTCAGCCTTAGTACCTGACATGACATCGTCTCCACCCTACCCACCAGCTAGTGCTCACTGTGGTGGTGGGGAGGATGCTACCCTGAGAACACTCAGCATCTCCCACCAGGGAATGCTGGCTACAGAGCTGCTTTCAGTACTCACTAGTGATTAGGGAGGGAAGATTTAGTTTGGATGTCAGGGGGAAGTTCTTTATAGAGAGAGTGGTGAGGTGCTGGAACAGCTGCCCAGAGAGGCTGTGGATGCCCCTTCCCTGGAGGTGTTCAAGGCCAGGTTGGATGGGGCCCTGGGCAGCCGGGGCTGGTGTTAAATGGGGAGGTTGGTAGCTCTGCATGTGGCAGGGGGGGTTGGAGACTCATGATCCTTGCGGTCCCTTCCAACCCTGGCCATTCTGTGATTCTGTAATGATTCATGTGGCCTGGGGAAACAAGATGGATTTGAAGGGGAGAAAGAGTCAGAATGAAAATCTGCCCCTTCTGTTTCTTTAACCACGTAGAGCTGACCAGAGTTTGTAAAAATGTCACTCGTACAGATTCTTGGTTCTGACCTGAAAGAGAGAGCTGGAGTTAGGCTGTGCAAAATAAAATGAGTGAGATTGAGGGAGGAGGCAGGGAATGGCTAAGCTATCAGGTTTGTGAATTGCCAGTATCCTACTGTTGTGCAATGTCCCAGCAAGGTGTGTCAAGGCCTTAGGGCTTAACATAGGGACAGACTGAAAGTTACAATTACAAACGAGAGGGTAAAACTTATAGTATAGAATAGTATCTTTGTAGCTCAATGTTTTCTAGTTCAGTTTTCTTGTATGTCAGAATGTTGTAGCAGTAAACTTGTGTAGTGCTCTGCAAGCAGTCATTTGTTAGAAGGCAAAGTTTTTTTTAAAGAATCTATAAGCCTTTATTTACACTCTGCCAGACCTTCAGAATGTCTCGAATGTTTCCTGTGGTGTAAAACATTTGGAAAGCCTTGTGGCATGTCCAGGTAGCGGGATCCAAAAATGCGGCTCTTTGCTTTTCATAGCAGCAGTGCATTCTTGGATACACAGATAAGATCTGTGCAACTCCCTTGTACTCTTTGTCCTAATGTCAGTAAGTAGTTGCCTTTATAGAGAACATAGATTGCAACAGAATGAGTGAAATGAATGTTATATGTAATGTAATTCTGCTGGTATTCAGAACAGCTCTGCCGCTGTAGAGAGCAAATTCTGAGTCAGGGAAAGAACTGAGGGGCACAAAAAGCTAAGAATTCCCTCTCCACTCCTATTAGCCCAAATTTAACTGGAATGTTTCTTGCACCTTTCCATAATTAGCTTGAAGCATTCCTCACAGATGAATAATGTAGAGCAACAGAAAGCAACTTTTCATGTTAGAGTTGCACATCATCACAGGCAGGTTTTTTTTTGTGCTCAGTTAATGCTTTCTTAGCACATATGCTGTATCTTCGGAGCTAGCACTGTAAAACTTCCCTTTGTATGTATTTGAGGAACAAACACTTTCAGAACATCCTGTTTGATGTGAGCCACCACTAGCTGGGACTTCACTTGTGTCCTGTACATTTTGCTGCATGCTCATTGCTTTTTTTCCTTAAAATCCGCCCTAAAAATGTTAAACTCTTGAGAAATCTGTTTTGAACTGTGCAGAGCATCACAGAGAATCCCTTTTCCATAGCACTGTAACACCCAAATTCACAAAGGTTTTGTGTTTTCTGACATATCATTTGCTTTGCTGATCCTTGCGTTAATTGGAAAGGCAAATTAATTGGGGTACTTATGAGGTGATCCATTGCAAAATGGTAAGTTTGTTTGCTGGGGAACTTCTTACAGGGCGGCAGGGAAGTCAGGTTTGAACACTGCACTCTTTTATACCTCTCAGTGCACTTAGTCATTTTCGTACTGCTTCTTCACAATCTGACAGTCTGTTGTGGAAAACATTCTGGAAGGTACTTGAATTCAGTGTTGTATATCCACCTATCTGAAATGTGTAAAAGGAATGTGAAAGCATAAATCTTGTAGGACTCGTGCTCTTAAACCTGGCGTTTTACTCCCAAACAGATGATTATTAGTAAAAGAAAGTAATAAGTGCTCTAATCAAATCATTTCTTCTTTTCAGTTTGTGAAATGTGGCTATGCAGGCTCCAATTTTCCGGAGCACATATTTCCAGCTTTGGTTGGAAGACCTATTATAAGATCAACAGCTAAAGTGGGAAACATTGAAATCAAGGTAATTCTTTTCATTATTCTTCTCTAACAGATAAATAGTATTTAGGGCATCCTTCGACATACGCAGTGTTTGCAAATGCTTGTTTCTGTATTCTTTATGCCGTTTCTGTATCTCTTGATAAACTTCCACGCTGGATTTTACCCTGTCACATACTACAAAGAAATCAAGAGTGTGGTCTAAAGCTCCGCAGAGGCCTTGTGCTACAATTGAGGAGACAACGGATAGAGCTCAAGTAGTTGTGGGCAAAAGGGGACTTGAAATGCTAGTATGTAAGTGCTGTCAACATCAGAAGGCAGAAATTGAATAGCAGTGGTTGCTATTTATCACCGAGCTGTACTTTAAGATTATGAGACAATGCCGAAGAGCTTCTGAAAATTCGAGGTCTTTTTGTACTCTTTGCTTTCTGATCACAGTTGATCGTCTGTGACACTGCATGAGATGTTTAAGCTCGGTTGTGTTTGCGTTTCACTGTTTCTGTTGGTGTTTTTGTTTTATTGTGGATGGATGTGTGATACTGGACTGTCAGTTAGAGAGCGAGAGGCTGTATCTGAGCTACTTCTTGGCGTGTTATTGTGTGTGTGGGGTGCTGAGGGGAACCACTGATCCCAGATCTTCTTCAGAAGTCTTATAGGGGCTATCATTTCTCACTTTCTTTTGTAGTTACAGAGCAATGCTTCAGTTGTTAGTAATTGCTTCTGCATTTGAGGCTCTAGTAAGTCTTGGCCCTGCTGTGGTCACAGCCTCGTCTTGCTTCTAGCCACACGTTTTCACCTTGTGCTGGCCCTAATGTGCTGCAGTAGTGTGCTGAGCCACTTTAGAGAGCAGATCCAGCTGAAAAAGTGGAATTTCTTTGTCAGGTAAATTTTGGCTGCCTCTTAACAGAATTGTGAAAGCTGCTTTGAGGGCAAGGCAGAAACAGGAACTTGAGAGAGAAGCAGAAGTGCATGCAGAACTGTAGAAACCCTCATTTCAGCCAGTGAAGGGCAAGCAGAACCTCACATGTACAGGCTTTCAATGTTGCTTTCCCTGTTGCTTCTAAGTAGTAGCACAGTAAAAGGGGAAAATACGCACATCTCTGCAGCCTTGTTCCTTATTTTCAGACTCCTAGGAGTGACAAGAAGAACTTCATTTATCTGACTAACCCTGCCCATGAGAGGGAATTGGAACTAGATGGTCTTGACAATCCCTTCCAACCCAAGCTATTCTGTGATCCTATGACTTCTGCTGCTGCCTGTAGAAGTCAGTACTGTCAGCAGGAGGCAGTGCTAGGAAGTCAAGAGGATGAAAGATATCACAGCTTCCCAAGCTGCTTTTTTTTTTTTTTTCATATTGCAATGCTCCTTACCTTGTGTCAGCCATGACAATGTGCTTGAAAAGATGAAGGCCTTTCCCCTTCCCAATAGCTAGGAGGGTGTTGGTTGATTTACTATTATTTTTAAGTAAAGAGAAAGCATCTTTCTCTGGCAGGACTTGGGCAGGGGCGTTTCTTTGAGTGTCTGCTTTAACTCAGTGTAAAAATTTCTTCAAGCAGGTCCTGGTAAAGTAGTAAAGTTTTATGAAAGTTATAAAGTGGTTAACAAGTCATAAAAGGCAAGAAAAAATTCTCTGGCATTAAATCATATTGTTGAAGTCGTGTTTTCTTTCCAACTGATCTGATATAGCCTGTCCTGCCAGTTCTGGTGTCATGATTATCTAATAACTTAGTTTAATATCCTTCCAGATGTCAGTGTTGAACTAAAAGGATGGGAAGTACAAGCAATTAATTGTTATGAGAGAGATGCAAAAGACCCCCAAAATTATAACTTTGTTTTTATTGCCCTTCTTATGCCAAAGTGTGGATTATGTGTGTCTATTTTAGAGAGTGTAAATTGTGTCCTGATTTCTTCCTAGCTGTTTTAGAGCATCTGCCTGTAACAGCTTCCTACTTTAAGAAAACGTTGTAGCAAGAAATCTATGCCACAGATGCTTTGAATATCCCCGTGGGATAACACAGTGGGTTGACTTGTTAGGTGCGTGTGCCATTTTCCTTTGTGAGATGCTTGCAGATTTCTTAACTGGAATGTATTTCAGCAGTTGAGTTTTGTGCCAAAATCGAATTCTATCCATTCACTACAGGTTCTTACGTTGTAAGCTTAAAACTGGGTAAGGGAAGTAGCCAGAAGATTATCAGTTTAATTTTTGAAAAATATTCAGACAGGCTGTCATTGCTGTGCAGTTCTGAAACTTGAAGTCGATCAGAACAGTGGTTATCATCCATCTACTGAGTTACCAGTGTGAAGTTGCTTTGTCCACGTTTTCTTTCTGGACTCTCATTTCACAGTAAGGTGAATTAATTCCCATTTTTTTGCTTACTGCCATAAAAGCATTTAAACACAGTGAAACAGCCACGAGAAAGCAAGAAGAGTGTGGTCACCCTCCTTATGCATCTGCTGCTGGCTCTGGAATGATTGTGGAACTACAGCCTCAGTAGTTGGGGGTGCATCATTTTCTTGTACCTGCAGTCCCCAGTTCAGGACATAAACACAAAATTCAGGTATCACTGGTATTATTTTGCTTCAAGTTGTAGCCTCAGAAGTTGGAAACCAGATGCGTGGATGCCACTTTGCAGTCTTTACCGATTCGCTGGTCTCTGAAGCAAGTCTGGGAGTGAATAACCTGAGGAAGGCTGGATCACTGTGCATCTTTGACCAATTAAGACAGGATTTTAGGGCAGTTGAGACTCGGGGAGCCATTAGTCCATGTCTTACAGCTGTGCTCAGTTTCTGCCAAAGGCAGTGTGGTGCTGTACTTCCTCTGCATCTGAAGTGAGGAAGGAGGCTGAGCTTTGACCAGTCTCCTTGTGCTAAGGCAGCTGCCACAAATTGTGAACACTTTCCCTCTGACACAATTCACACAGTAGGTAGATTTGCCTCCATAGTGCTGATAGTTACCTTTATGGCTTTTGCTAATTTACATGTAGATTTACTTGAAGGAGGAAGAATCTCACTGGTAATGAAAACGACCTTAGTATAATTTCAGACAGCATTTGTATGTTGCACTTCAGGATGCTTCCCAGCTCCTTAATTCTTCTATTTTCCTACATCCGTAGCTTGCTATTGTGAAGAACTTTGGTTCCATGATATCTGAACAATTAAGCCTCCTTATAGATGAGTACTTTTATGTTATTGTTTTGAATTCCTGTGTATTTAAGGCAGAATACTTAGAACAATCTAAACGTAGCAGCAGCCAGAGCTAGCTGTAGTCGAACCCTTTCTGCAGAGTCTCATCTAGTTCAGATGAGCACGTTGCTCAGGGGAAAATTCCAGTGTTACAGAGTAGTTATGCACAGAATCCTACTAGAAAGGGACAGATTTTGTTTGCAACATGAGGTGCACAAACACGACGTGCCAGTGACTTGTTGCAGTAGCTTTAAATGGAGACTTTTAAGCTAAAATCCCAAGGATGTTAGCTTGGCCCTAACGATACTAACCTGAATATTTTCCAGCTGTGTGTGCATCTTTTTTTGGCTTATTTCTACTGTGTTCTTAAAATAATTGGAGAATTTCATTTAGGCTTTTTCTGACTTTCTTGCTTCTACCTTTTCTTCACCTTTCTTGACCGGTTGAAGTAGAATAACAAAAAAATGGTAAGTGGGTGCCTCATGCTGCTTGTTTAGTGTTTATGCTTGGTGGGACCTGGAGCTCTTCTGCTGTTTTTTGCTACTCATTGTTCTGTCTTGCCTTACATTTTGCCTTGGAATACATACTCACTTTGGATGTTTTTCATTGCTTGGGTTTACTAGCAACTAACTGATGAGAAAATTTATTTATTGTGTTTAACTATGAGATAACCTGTGGTTTTGCAAGGTGCAAGAATAACACTTCAAGACCAACGTGAGCTCAGTATCTCCAACAGTGGAAATTACTTTACATAAAGTTACAGACCAAGGGCTTGAAAAAAGTTTCAATTTCCAATCAGACAAATATTACTGAGTCCCAGAGTGATGGAAACATTGAATGTCACGGCAGTGACGCTGTATGCACTGCCCTCCTTCACCCAGTGTGCATGCTGTTTGTTTGTGTGCCCTGGAGAACAATGAATGGTTCTGCCCTTCAGCTTTGTTTTGTTAACAGGACGCAGAAGTTTGGTGTGACTTGATTGTGTGTTTGAATACAGGCTTTTCCTGGGCCATGTCCTGTCCAGGAGTACAAAGCCTCCAAGAGCAGCACACAATGAAACGCTGCTGATTCCTCTCACTGCTGGTGTTTCTGATGGCATAATGTGGTGTGGGGTGGGGAAGCATCCATCGTATGCTTCACTGAAGTACCTTTGATTTAAAAAGGTAGAGCTTTGACTTCTGTCTTCTGTACGGTCTGGGTAATGGAGGTGTGATCTACTGCACAAGGGAAAGCAAATGGAGCCCTTGGTCAGGGAGAAGGGGTGGGAGAGGAACAGATTATTTTGAACTGTTCTCAATAAACTTCCTTTTTTTGCTGGCAGCTCTTTAGGTTGCTTCTGAAATGGGCTTTTATGGACTTGATGCTGCATTTCTCTGTGTGTCTTATTTTACCTCTTGCATTGAGTAGTAAATTGAATAACCTTCACTGTGAAAGTTTTCTGCACTGTGGTAACTGCTGGCATGTTTTTGTGTGGAGCAGACAATTTTCTGCAGTGACATGAAGGCTATGTAGAGTGAAAGCAGTGCTGTAAGCAGTGCTCTAGAAGCATGCTGTTAGAGGCTACGTGTGAGCTGATCAGTTAAGGCTTCTTTAGGAAAACGAGAGAGACAGCAGGGAACAAACACAATGTTGTATTGTGCATACTTCCTCTGGGAAGTACGTGGGAAAGGAGAAGATAGAGTGCTACTAATTTGAATGTGCAATGTTTGCATAACTGCATAACTACCTTTAAGAAACAGATTGCTTAATTAGTGGGAGATGATTGTACAAACTGCATTTGTTGGTTGTGTTTGTGTAAGAATGCGTTGCCGTGGTTTTTGACCTGGGACTTGCAGCATGGAACAAACCAGGGTATGTTTTACATTTAGGTGTCTCTCCTCTTCACATCCTACTGGCATAGGCAACGTGTAAACCACTGTTTCTTTTAATGTATAGAGTGGAACTTGTAATCACTGATTTGCTATTGCTGCTGTTCTGCTTGCTCATAGAGCACTCACTATTCCTTTTCTGGCATCATGCAGTGTGCAGGGAAAACATTCTGCAGTCTGTCTACTATCCTTACATGCTGTTTTGCATCTCAGCCTTTTGAAATCTGATGACAAAACTTTGGAGGTGTCAGTGGAGAAACATCTACACGTACAGAAGTCTTGGCAGTATCTAGCATTAGTGGGGCTTGTTGGTGTGTGTGGGGTTAACTGGAAAATGGAATTAAAGTTCATTTTGGAGAAGGTTTGGAATGGATAACAGCCCAATTTAAATACTAGATGGAATATATTCTACTTGTCTCCTAAGTTCCTGAGAGCAATCCTGAAATGTGGGCTTTGTTTAATAACACGTAAATGTGGGCTGGCACAGCTTGCTGTCACTGTTTGAGGATTTTGTTCTTTAGGAGACTTTGCAACAACTGACATACTTCAATGTTAACGTTTTACAGGATCTCATGGTTGGAGATGAAGCAAGTGAATTGCGTTCAATGCTGGAAGTTAATTATCCAATGGAGAATGGCATCGTTCGGAACTGGGATGATATGAAGCACCTCTGGGATTACACATTTGGACCAGAGAAACTTAATATTGACACAAAAAATTGTAAAATACTGCTTACAGAGCCTCCTATGAACCCAACTAAAAACAGAGAGAAGATCGTGGAGGTATGTCTCTCTGATAGGAACTAGGATGTGCTGTTGTTGAAGCATGGATAAAAAACCTGCATTTTCTCGGAATACACAGAAGCTGCCTGAGGCGAGGCAGTTCTCCTACCTTCTGAGCAAAATGTGTCATCAGCCATGGTTATAAAGGCTGCTGTGGTCAAATTCAAACAGTCCCTCTATCCAAAAGTTATAAGCAGACTGGGTGTCTCAAGCCACATCACCTACAAAACAGTCAGCAATGCATGCTTTTCGTCAGGTATCTGAGATATGTTGATTACCAGGTATTGGATGAATGTTAAGTAATTTAAATGACTTGAACTTCTGTAAGCCCGTAATGTTTCTGAAGAGACTGAGGCTTGAACAAGATGATGCTTACCAGATGGAGCAGTATTGTTGGAAGTAGCTGAGACAAAGGTGTGATGACAACATTGATCTTTGATTAACACTAGGGATTGTCAATGGAAGCCTTTTTAGAAAGAAAGCTGGGTTCTTGGATCCCATGCTGCCCTGGACAACCTAAGCTACCTCTGAATTTGGTTGGTTACAGGAATAAGAACTTACTTTTATCATGACCTACTAACTTTCCTTTAAAACCATTAGTTGTCACAGCTATAGCAATGCTTTCTGCAGTGTGACCATTGGGTGTTTTTACAGCAATCTTTTCTTTTGGTGTCTTGCTAAATAAACCCAATGTGGAAAAGGATTAATCAAACTGTGCAATTTTTTGTGTTTTTAAGTTGAAAATTTTCTAGCACTTACAGACATTAGTGGCCCATTATATAAGTGTTGTGTAACTCAACATTAGCAGCGTTATCTGTTGTGCAGCAGTCAGCTGTGGTGTGATGGATGTAGTGACCTGTTCTGGGTTGCCTCCATGCAGTAGGAACGGCTGAATTTCCTGTTGAGGCTGCTTTGCTTTTCGGCTGCCTACAATGGTGTACTTGTTTCTGTTTTCCTGCTAAGTGCAACAGGCTGGGTTTTAGTTATTCTGGTACTGAGTAATTTTATCCCATAAATCGAGAAGCCTCCTATAGCTTCAGAAGTCTGAGGAAACATTTGTGTTGCCCCATGTGCTTTCTAAAGCCACTCCAGAGACTGTAGATACTTAACCACGATTCAGAGGATTAAGGAGAACCAGAATCCATTTTCATAAACTCAAACTTGAGCTGAACAGGAGTTCCCTGTTCCTATTAATATTTTTAATGGATCATAGCATTAGGAGGAATAGGAATATTTAATTTTTAACTGCAACCTATTTACACTTGTCTGTCCTCCACTTTTGAAGCATACTCTTCCTTTTCAGGGAGGCTACACCAGAATGAAGTAGGAAATCGAGTTAACATTTTCCTAAAGCCTGTAGTAGATGTCTCTGTGTTTTGTGATGCATTGCAGTAATAGTATTTCAAAGAAGAAGCTTAGTCACTTGGACCATATCAAGGTGGTAGATAATTACTTGTGCTGTACTTCATTCTACTTCCATTGGTTCTCCTTCCTCACTGCATTTCTCCATCAAACACAGCTACACAGAAATAGCAGTTCACATGATACGTACATTGTAACATAGATACTTTTAAAGTGCTGTTTCTTTTGTAGCATGCACAAGGCACAGATTGCTATTCAATTTAAGGTAATGTTTGCTGCTTGTCTCCAGTTGTTGCTCCGTTATCATTCTGAAATACCCCTAGGAGCAGCTTGAATTTCGTTGCATGTCATGTAGTGTTAGAGATACACTCTAACACAGTCACTTCTCCTAGTTTCAGTCTAGTTTTCTTTGTCTCTTTATCCCAATTCTTTGTTCTTCCTCCCTAGACCCGCTTAGAACATCACCAGCTAATCCAAAAGCAGCTGTCACTAGAAGGAAATTCTGCTCTGTTTACATCTTAGGTTTTTTAATATGTTCATCCTGTGACGAGGTGTTTTTGTAGTCAAAGAGAGCAGACCTAGATGGCTTGAAAGAAAGAACATTCAAAGAAAGAACAGCAAACCCCAGATCTCTGTATATGAGCTTCAGCAGATTTTTGCAGGTCAGAGGAGGGGTTGTAAAAACCCAAAGCAAGCCATTTTCATGGCAAGGTGCTTTGCAGCCACTCCCTCTACATTCCTCTAACTTCTGTCATGCTCTATGCTCACTGCAGATGTTCCTAGAAAGGGAGCATCTGTCTTCCCAGGGATTTTGCTATGTGCTCAATATAGCTATGAAATAATTAACTTGACTTTGCAAGGATCAGGATTTTGATATGGAACAGCCATTTTAAAACTGTGCTCTTCTAACAGAGGAGGGTCTTTAAATAGTTCAGAATTTTGAAATTGTCAGGCATCAGCATTTTTTTTTTCCTTTAAGATATTTAAGATCTTTAAGATATTTAAGATCCTTAAGGTATCTTTTACTTGAACTGTGGGAGTGCTTAGGATTTAATCAGTTTCTAATCCTGGAAGTGGCAGAAGTGCTTGGGAGGCTGTAGAAGAGCAAAAACAGACCTTTGTGCCGGAATGATCAGAGTTCATCATTTTTTCATGGTAAAGCATTTGGAGGAGGAAGCTGCTGTGCATTACTTGTTTACTTTGCCTTCTTTGTGTTTATAGAGAGGACAAGATCCGATAAACTGGACATCCTTTAATTTTAAACTATTTCTTCACTGCAACTAGTTTCAGTGCTTAGGAGAGCCTAGTTTATGAGACGGGCAATTCCTTTCATGTTTTAATAAGAGCTGCTCTGCAAACCTGCATTGTTTTTTTTAAAAAAAGGGTGATGATGCACTGGAACAGGCTGCCCAAGGAGGCTGTGGATGCCCCATACCTGGAGCATTCAAGGCCAGGCTGGATGTGGCTCTGGGCAGCCTGGTCTGCTGGTTGGCGACCTGCACATAACAGGAGGGGGTTGAAACTAGATGATCATTGCAGTCTTTTCCAACCCAGGCCATTCTATGATTCTGTACTCTATGACTGTTCTGTAAGTAGCAGCTGAGTCGTTCTAGATGTACTCCTTCCATTGTAGCGAGGTTTGCACTGAAGCTGATTCTAGAAGTTTGTCACCTGTTGCACTTCAAAGAAAGGAAGAAGGCCCAGAGGACAGTCTGTGACACTGCGCTGATTCTAGACCAGTATGAGTAGGTTTGTTTGCTCTGTCTTTGACAATCTCCACTTGTGTAAAGATGGTGACCCTGATATGAAGAAGAAAAAACCTGAACCTCGTTAGAAGTAGAACATATAGCTATAACAAATGTTTAGTTCCCAAATCACATTTAAATAATGAAGTAGCTGGCTGGCCTGCAAGTACGTGCCTCCCACTCAATACACACTTTAGAAAATGGCTTGGTAAAATGGCAGGATTTGGCACATAGGTTTCTTGAAAGCATTCACTTCTTGTTCCTGAGTGGATGTGAAATGTTTGAAGTCCTTGAGATGATTCGTCTCACATGAATGGACAGGTAAGGTATAAAACTGACAGTGCTAATCACTGCCATAAAGCAAGTGGGTTTTTAATGTTTGCACACAGTATTTGTGATGAAATTTCTTGGAAAGTGTTTTTGATCGGTGAAAACACAGAATTACATGAGGACTGTTTTCAAACATTTGTGACACTTCATTCAAGGATGGGCCTTGGACACTAATTTTTGCCTTCATCTTGCAGGTTATGTTTGAGACATACCAGTTTTCTGGAGTGTACGTAGCCATTCAGGCTGTCCTTACTTTGTATGCTCAAGGTAGGCAAAGATAACTTAAAATATGTTTAATTTATGTGTTGCTAAGGCAGAGCTCTAATATAGTATTAATGAGGCTTGGGTACTGCTGTAAGCAAGCTCAGTTCTGTTTTAAAGGTTTGCTTTTCATTTTTGGGAATTATGGATAGTTATCTTTGTGTGCACGTTTAGCAGACCTACTTGTAAAATCCAGTTTATCAAAACTCACTGTTTCAAGGTGCAGTTCATTTTAGCCTTCAGCATCTTTCCAAGCCTGAATGACATGCTCTTGGTTTTCTGAAAGATTTATCACCACAAATGAATGTCAAGCAGCTGATTAGGTGACTTTGCACTGTTCTCAGTTCAGGAACATGTTGGTTCTTCTGCTATATATAAACAAGAATAAATAACTGCCAGCTTAAAAAGAAAATTACAGATTCACTGAATTCAATAGAAATTCTGCCATTGGCTGCCGTTCATCAATGATCTAGGATATTCAAGACGTGGGTTCTAATAACATGACTTCTTACATCTGTTTACTGGTGGCTTGGTGTACTTAACCACTGTGTGGCAGGAAATCAAAATGTCCTTCCTTGTTGACATGTCATCATAGCGTCTGTGCCCAAGAGCAGAAGTTCAAGGGAGGGACTGCTGTGCAAGTCACTAAAAGCAACTGAACCCAAACCCCTCTTGCAGGCCTGGTTTTCAGTTTTATTTGCTGATCACTCTTTCTTTTTTTTCCTTTATCACTGTTTTTTGTTTGGTTCATTACAAGTCTATCTGTCTGAAAAATACACAGTCTCCCATTTACAATTACAGCAGAATACTGCATAGTGCTCAGTTACTCTGAACAACAAAACATAAAACAACTTGGAGCAGTCTGCTGTTGAAGAACAGATATTTTCTGCCCTATGAAAGCATTAATTGGTACTTGAGAAGAAAGCATCATGAACAAATCCTAACAGTAATTCTAACAAGAGAAACTTGTGGCATGAATACCTCTACATTTCTTTATATTGGAGCAATTAATATCATGTTGCACATACATAGCTGGATCTGCTCAGGAATTTATAACCCAACAAACATTTAATGACCTTAGCTATTCTCTTTAATTTAAGATGCAATTTAAGATGTGAAAACAGTGGAAAAAATGGCAAATGGTAGAGTTGAAGCACCTAGGCAAGAGGAAGGATAATCCATTTTTAACGTGTATATACAGGCATTTTCACTGTGAAAATCTTATGTTTAAAATCTAGGTGAGTGGAAATAACTGAATTTTAGGTTTTGCTTCCTTTTCCCAAAAGGGTGATGACCATTACAGTGTTCTTTTAGGATACCAACGAGGTCATGATTACAATGATAAAACTGTCCTGCTCTATTTATGGAGGTGCTACTAACAGTTGTACTTCCTCCCCTGTTTCATTCTTCTAGGTCTGCTGACTGGTGTTGTTGTGGACTCTGGAGATGGTGTCACTCATATCTGCCCAGTTTATGAAGGTTTCTCTCTCCCTCATCTCACCAGACGGTTAGATATTGCTGGGAGGGATATCACCAGGTACCTCATTAAGGTGAGCTGGAAAGAGTCTTTAAGGCTGAGGCTGATGGCAGTGGCACACGGGTTCAAGTTAAAATCCCTTGGTAGAAAGAAACTTTATTGTTTGTGTGTTCTTTACATAAAGAGAACCAGTATTCTTTGTATTGCTTCAGCCTCTCTGTGTTACATTTCCTCATCTATAGCACTGATGTTATTCAGACTTCACTCACTTTCCTAGTTATAGTCTAAGAAGGGAAGGGACTTCCTTCTGTGTTTGGGAAGAGAAATCTCACATTTGGCTTTCTTGAGATGTAAAATAAAAACAAGACTGTATTCTAACATCTTTTTTAGTGTAGAAAATAATGTAATGATTCTTATCTGATTATTAAATGAGACTGTTTTATTATTTGCTTTTAAAAAGTATGTAAACCTTAGGATTTTTTAATCCAGAATATTGCTTAACTGCAATATTGTGCTGTTCTGAAGCAAAGTCCTAAATGCGAGGATTATTTTAGTATCTTTCACTTCTGTAACAATTGCACTGGAAGTTCTTGGGAAGATTTCCTACTTACAGTGATATTGTATCTGGTTGTTTTTCTTCCTTGTTCTGATAATAATGGATACAGTTACAGATTTGACTTAATACTGAATTTGCAGTTAGAAAAGCCAGGGAAACTTGACAAGTTTTTGACTGTGCACACTGGAGGCAAGGAGATCTGTGCTGTTTCTCACCTTTATAGCTAATCTAATCTGTTCACTGCAGCTCCTCTTACTGCGAGGCTATGCTTTCAACCACTCTGCTGATTTCGAGACTGTTCGCATGATCAAGGAGAAGCTGTGCTATGTGGGATACAACATTGAACAGGAGCAGAAATTGGCATTAGAGACCACAGTACTAGTTGAGTCGTACACGGTGAGTGTTTTGAGGCACATTTTCTTGACCTAAATGTATGAGGTCTAAAATCAGGTAGCATTTAGCTTTGATTCCTTGTAAGTTTGTCTTGGCAGTAGCTCACTTCCCAGACATAGAAGTCTGTAGAATCACATTACTTGGTTCTGGGAAAGCTAGAAAAGCTGATTTGGGGGATATCTTTAAAGCTTTGTATTGACTTTTGTAACTGTAGATGCTTGAAATTTGAATATTACAGCACAAAAACTTGTAGAGAAAGTGGACTTAGGCTAGCATGTCAGATTGTTTCAGCTTCGTCCCTCTAGCTGTGATACATCTGAGACTGGAAACTGGTAAGAAGGGGGGTAAACTTACTCTTAGGAGACGTGCTGTAATAGCACATGAAAGGAAAGGAGTTTCAGAATAGCATATTTCTTGCCTCAAGTTCATCTTTAAAATCAAAATTAAGAGCTGTATTGCAAGGCAGCATTTGGTACTTCAGTATCAGTATATCTGGTCCTTGATCTCTGTAAGTAAATCACATAGCAATTGAAGAATCTTCTTTCAGTAGCACTGACTTCTTGCAGTGGTGACAATAAGCAACAATTTCCTGCTTTAAAACACCTAGTAACAACGTAAGTCATTTCCTCCTGTTTTCTGTATCTAAGTGGCTAAAAGCAGCCTGCTGAATGGCTTTCTCTTCACTAGCTCCCAGATGGCAGGATTATCAAAGTCGGTGGAGAACGGTTTGAGGCACCAGAGGCACTTTTCCAGCCTCACTTAATCAATGTGGAGGGGGTTGGTGTGGCTGAACTGCTGTTCAACACCATCCAGGCTGCTGACATTGATACCAGGTAAGAGCACACTTACTCCTGCACTCTGACAGTGAACTGTGACACAGGGATTGCTTTCCAAGAAAATAACATCTTTTTGCTTTAGTCACCACCAGCTGTGTGAAGATATATGTTGGAACTGGGGGTCGGTCTTAGATGACTTTTTGAAGCTTAATGCATTATCTGAAAACATTACTATTTTGTATGAATAAGCAAGGATTAAATCTTGGAATTGTGGGGTTTCTTTTGTGTTCCTTCTTTTTTAATTGCTGCTTTCTGGGACATCTGGAGAAGTGTGAGCAAGTGTGCCAAACTTGGGCAAAGGTTGTTTTTGTGTTCGTGTGGTGTCAGTTTTGTAGATCTGTATTTACTTCTCTGTATGTACAGCTACCTACTTGTCCTATCAGAAACTCTGTAGCACACTAAAAAGATTGTTCTCTTGGTTAGGTCTGAATTCTATAAGCACATTGTGTTGTCTGGAGGGTCCACTATGTACCCTGGGCTGCCTTCACGACTGGAGAGAGAACTTAAACAGCTCTACCTGGAACGAGTTCTGAAAGGAGATGTGGAAAAACTCTCGGTAAGTTCTGAGTCACTGCTGTATTTGTGTGGGCGCAGGTTTATCCTGAATCCCCACTAGAGGGAACTAAGTAGTCAGAAATGACAAGCTGTGGGTCACCCTCCACACAGCTTGAAAAGCTTGGTGCATCCCGGTTCTTCACAGTCTTGTGCTGGCTTTTGCATATATATGCAGTAAAGCTGCCTTCTGGTCATGCTAATAGAAAGTCGTTCCTGAAGTCTTGGGTTAGTTTGAGCATAAAATGTGCAGTTAAATGCTAGCGTACAACTCTCATGTAGAATGAGGGATGCTAGTGAGTTTTTGTGCTATAGAAGGTCATCACTGAGCAAAAATTATTTCTGTCTTTGAAAGCTTGGGCTCATGCTATGCATTGTAGATGAAATGCTCAAAAGTTTAAGGCTAGAGTTCACACGTCGTCAAGTGGAATCATTTTCCTTGCTCACCTGCAGACAAAAGCCAAACAGATGATGGAGGTAGCATTGCCTTCTATCTAGTAACAATGTCATGTGCTTTTCAAAAAGGAGATATTTATGGAAGAAATTTCTCAGAGTGAAGTTTCTAACGTTGAACTGAATTGAACTTCCTCAGCTTTGAATACAGTATTCTCTGAAGATCTCTTACAGTCATTTAGAATGACTCAGTTGCACAGAATAGAATCACAAAATCACATGTAGCTTTGACTGTGCTCATTTTGCTCTTGCAGTTGGAGCTTGGGCATCAAATAATTAAGAATATTCATTAGATAAGCTGGCTTAAGTTGTATAAATTTAGAATCTGTTCCATCTGCCCTCCTCAAATTTGGTATAATTCTAAAACATTTTGTGATCTGGTAAACTCCTGATAATTTTAGCCATCAAAGCTTAGCGAGTATTTAACTCTTCTTCCGTGTTCATAAAATGCAAAAATACGATCTTTAGTTTTCTGTTCTGACTTCTGGGCTTTTTGTGGATACGTGGAAGGTATAATTTTGGGGACGTGTCAATAGCCCTCTCTAATTTCCAGTGCAAAGTAGTTATTTGACTTTGGTTGTGTGAGCTGGAAGCTCACACAAAGTGCCCCGTGCTAGCATTGCATTTTGGTTGCGTTTCTCACACTAAGCAGCTTTTGTTCTTTCACTGTTCTCGTAGAAAGCACAGTTCTGTTTGAGTAGGCTTTGTTTTGAGAATCCTAACAGCAGTTTTGTTGGTTTTTTTTTTCCTTAGAAATTTAAGATCCGAATTGAAGACCCACCTCGCCGAAAGCACATGGTGTTTTTGGGCGGCGCAGTTCTAGCAGACATCATGAAAGACAAAGACAACTTCTGGATGACCCGACAAGAATACCAAGAAAAGGGGGTGCGTGTGCTGGAGAAGCTTGGTGTGACTGTTCGATAAATCCCAAAGCTTGTTCCCATCACGTCTAAAGCTTTTTTTCTTTCATTGCCAATCTCTGAACTCACTCAGCTACATGCTATGGAAAGGCCTGTCTGTGGCCTTTGACCCAAAGGTCAGGTTTTGTTCTGGTTTCTTGGGGTAGCTTTTGTTAAATGTTTCTTAATGTGGCTAAATTTGACTATTAAATTTGACCACTTCCCCGCAAACAAAACAGAGCAAGAGCAGCCTGTCTACTTCATTGTTCCTTCCCAGTAGGCAATTGGGTAATTCTGGTAGGCTTTTTCTTCTGGGTTTATTGCTGTAGTACTGCTAGCTTTTGTCTCTAGTTCACAAGGGGTTGTGTGCCTTTTTTAGCATAAGAAAACCTTTAAACGGGAGCTTTTGCTATTGGATCATTGTGGTGGTTATCTTTGCATCTTTTTGCCTCTCTCTACATTAAGACTTCTTTTTCTTTCCTGCAATAAGGAATTTTGATTAAGCATAGTTAGAAACTAGTTTAACTAGCTGGAATGGCTTTACACACTGTGTCGATGTAATGTGGTTCTGTATGCCCTGCTGCCTCAAACTGGTTTCTGAGGCCGTTTATCAGAATCCTTAGAGGAGGTGGGGCTTCCATGCTGTATTTCTCTAAGTGGGCATGTACACAGTTGCCACAAACCAGGGAACACCGGATATTCTGGCAAAAGTAAATCTGTGGCCTTAGATGTCTTTTTTTTTCTTTTATTTAGGAGGGAGGAGACAGGTTTGAGCTGTGTTGCTTTTCTGTTAAGGGACAGCTGGAGGTCAGTCTGACCAAAAATGCCTCTTTTTGTAGCTACGTTTTGGTACCGTGTTATCTCAGCATAGGGAGCAAGAATGTTACGTTAGCTGTTCTGTAACTGTTGAGAAACTTACTTAGATGTGCTGAGAGAGGAGCCTCTGAACTTCTAAAGAGATTAAATACTTTCAGAAATGCTTGTGAAAACTGTAATTAAAGATATTAAAACTCCCCAAACTAAGTTTAAAATGTTTTAAGTGCTTGTATGTACATCAGAAGCACTTGTATTAAACTTTACAAGTATATTAACCTAGTGCCAAGTAGTTATTGCAAATGAATATTTCAATGCCCAGTGTTCATCGCAGCAAGCAGATGTTTATAAACAACCACTGGCAGTAGGTTACAAAGAATGACCTGTGTTTGTTCTAGTTGAAAATAGCACTGGAAGAGGAGATGTTGGTTGGTAAATATCTGCAACTCATTTTGATTTTTTGGATACTTTAGGTGGGATGGGGAAGGAAGTGAAAAACAATGACAAAAATGCTGTTTGCAGAAAGTACATTAAAGCTGAGTTGTACTGAAAACTAGAAGTTGTCACTAGTAATTATCAGCCATCTTCTCCCAGTAGAGTTGCCTGTATTTTCTTTCCCGTAGCAGACTGGTAACTATCAGCACAATCAAATCTGCCTTACACAAAGCATAGCAAAAACTGCTCGCATACGGATGCCAGTTAGATGTAGTTCTACTTTGCTTGTCATGGAAATGTTATCTCACTTCTTACTTAGTTTTCCAAGCCTACCACAACATGTAAACGTGAGGAGGTTAAGATCTGCTTTTGACTTCCAAACCTTGGAATGTACGAGATGTGCTTTCATATACTTGCCATTTGTCTACATCTTTACATTAATGATCGACCCCGGGAACGGGGAAATATTAAACTCCCTTGGATTCTTAAAAGTTGCTTTCTTTCTAAATCAAGCAGACAGCTTCCTTTTGGCCAAGAGAGCCAAACAGGCAGAGACCATGTCTGCATTTCTTAAGCAACAGGACAGATGCTATAGTATTGCTAGTAATGACCATTTAATTATAGGTGGGTGGGGTTTTTTGCAGCTATATTTACTCTTAACTTGAACAATATGAATTTACAGGCATGCCGGTCATGCCTCAGTGCATGCACTTATGCAGTTACTAGATTTTTGGGGACGTGAATGTAAGGGGTATTCTGAATTCCTCTAGTCTTCTGAACATTTAATACACAAAGATTTAAAAATGCTGTGCACTTGCTTTACAGCTATGGTTTCTCACGTGACTGTCTCTGGGCTTTCTGGACAGCTTTGAGAATCGTGTAAATAAACCAAAGAATGACTTAACAACCTTTTTTTGAATGACAATCTGCCACGTGATCAATTGTACAAATCCAGACCTTGACCTGAACCCCTTTTCTAAGCCACATTCTCCCCTCTTCATTGGCTTCGGTTAGGTATGTGCCTATCTTCAATAAAGGTTTTGGAATTTGGCCCTTTCACAAGAGAACTTCACAGCACCATTAGAAATAAATGTCAGTTGATTATGCAGTATCTTAGGATTTCATGGAAACAATGTATTTATTGGGGGGGGGAAGAAAAGAAAGAAAGACAAAGCATATTGCATTACAGCTATCCTGAATCCAGAAGAATGAATACGACATCCACAGACTGAATGGGGTTCCAGTTGTGCTCAGTGTGGTTCTCAATGTGTTAGCACACACGAGTGTGTGTTTGTTCTCTTGTTCTCTCAGCTGACAGCTTCACTACTGAAGCACTATATGAAAGTAATCTGGTTTTCATGTTGTTGGTTTTTTTATTTTTAAAGACCAAATAACTTTGGTTCTATTTGCAACATGCTTCAGCTCCTATAAAATTAGACTAGAAGATGCTGCATCAGCTGTAAGTTTTTTGGAACTACCCCACTTTTAACGTTAAGCTGCTTCAAACCCCTCCCCCAGTGTTCTAGGATGTTAACCTATGTAACACAAATGGCTTTTTTATACAGCTCTGAACAGCATGTTAACACGCAGCACTGGTTGAGACCATGAATGGAAATAAACATCTATTTAAATGGACAGGTCTTTTCAATATAAAAATAAAATCAGATTTTTTTCAAAGTAGATGACGTTTGCTTTGTTTCCTTTGGGAAATCACAGTTTTGTCAGGTTTTTTTTCTAATATAACTTTCATCATGAAACTATCACAAGCTGCTTATGCTGAGGAAATCTGATGTGGCAGAATAGCACGTTCCCTATTGATTGCTGTCACAGAGTGAAAAAGGCACCTCATCTCCATTCTCTAGCCAAGATTTCCTTCCTTCCACCCTAGTTTGTTTAAATTAATATGTATATATATATGTGTGTGTGTGTGTATGTATATATATATATATTTATATTAACTTAATATGTAGCATTGGAGAGGAATCTTACCTAGTTCAAGCTCTGTGCTTGATTGATTTCAGTGACCTGGCTATGCGTGGTAGCCACATAATAGCATTCTGTTGTGGAAAAAACTCATTTATCTGGCTTTGTAGCAAGCTCATTCAGCTTCTTCATCCTAGCACATTACACGTGCTGATCTGTATGGATATTCCCAGGCATTATGTCTCCAGCAGACGACGACTTTGGTTTTCTTACAGTAACCCAAAGTGTAGTTTGGCTCTGGATGAATCTGTCTGAAGGACTAGGCCAACTATGTGCCATCTTAGATACGGGTTGTAGATTGGATTTCAATAGATGGGGTAAAAAGATCCCCCTATAGTCTTAATTTCATCACTATATTTGTAGGTGGAGGGAAGGCAGGCTTTGCCTCTGTGCAGCAACGATAATACATGTTCCCCACTCTCCCTGCCCTGGCTTGGTTTGCCTGACCTGGCTTTTGTTCAGCCAGTGTTTGCTTGTCAACTTTTTCAGTGTTGACTTCCTTCCTACAGATACTTCATGCATTTGCCACAAACGAGCCTCGTTTGCTGTTTCATTATGGTGAAAAACGCAGGTTGGTTTTCTTTTTATTTTAATCCAAATATCTCTCTTCCTTTGTTCTTAGCAACCAGGAGAATTGTTAAGAAAAAAATAGTTAAACTTTTCAGCAAGTATTCAAATCTGAACTGAAAACTTGCTTTATTTCTGCCACAGGCAGAAATAGTTGTTTTGGTTTGTTTTTCAATAAATTTGTATGCTGTCCTGTTGAGATAAGTCACTGTCACTTTGCCATCATAGAACTCAAGGGAAAAGAAAAGCTACTTTTTTGAGTAGGTGCTACTGTAGCCTCTTACATCTGCTGCATCACAGTATTAAATAAGCTTTAAATAACATCCCTCAAGCAGGCAGCTTACCTTTCTGTAACCTGTTGTTGCATCCAGTTGTCCCAGCTAAGTGTACAAACCAAGGTTGCAGTGCACATCTGCATATCCCCAACAGCTGGAGCAGGGCTCCTTGCCTTCCTTGTGCCACGTGCAGGGTTCTGCTTTGGTGTTGCTGGTGCAAGGAGAAGCTCAGGGAGGAGAGGAAGTGTAGGACTTCGCTTCTGCATTTTAAGGTTGTTTTGAAAGCAGTTCCTTCATTTTGAAGTTGAGGGAAACATTTTCTATTCTAGGTGACAAATAAAGCATATTACGCATCTCTAACAGATTTAGGATGATGCTGAGGGGCATCTTCCAACTGCACAACTTGTGCTCCTTCCTGTAACTTAAAAAAATCTTTCCACGAAGCTGAGGAACAGTAATTAAATTGTAGCTGCAGGAATAATGACAGATACGGGCCTCTTGCCTACACCTTTTCATCACCACACCCATCTCCCATCTGCTTTTTGTTTGCCCTAAAGCTTAAGTGGTTTCAGGATCCTCTTGCATGCATGTTTTCACTGTGTGCCCATTTTAAATCTCTCCAAGTATTTTAATGAATTAATTAATTGACAGTTGCTGACCTCAACACAAGTACATCCTGTAAGTCCTGACTTGCATCAGGCATTTTTCTGAGCAGAGCAGCCCTTTTGGGGGCTGTTCCAAATCTAAACTTTACTGTTGTCCAATAAATTCCCATTCTGAATCACCCAGTGTAAACTTGATATTGCTTTCCTGCCAAAGCATGAAGTACAAGGGTGGCATTAAAGACATGAGAAGCAATATTTTGGGAAATGCCCAGCCACTCAGCTTCCTTGGAATATTCCATTTTTGTCTTTTCCCATTGCAGTGTATGTCAGTGCTACTTCAAACTACCCTGTGGCAAATCTTGTAAAAGCTGAGGGGATTTATGCAAGCACCTGTAATGCTGGTAAATAGTTCTCTGTAAGAAAGTCTTGTAAAAGGGCAGGGAGGGGCTAGGGCTTCCTATAGCATTGCTGGGTGATAGCCTGGAGCTGTAACTGGAATAACCTATGAAACATTCTCAGTGATGGAACCCGTGTACCATATGAGAACAAAATGTTGTATGATCATTACCCATTATCTAATTATACAAGAACTTACAGCCCTGGAGGATGAAAAACTAATTAAATTGTTACCACTTTTTAAAAGATAGCAAAGAAGTGAGGAATATTTGTGTTTTTTTGGTTCCTGCTCCGCTGCTCATGTTTCTTGAGAAGTGAATGAGGCAGTGTGGTGGGGATGTAGTGCTCTGTGTACTGATTCTGTTAATGCTGCAGGAGGTTGTAGAGGCAAGGAACTTTCTTCTAGGAGTGGACTGCATACTCAAAAACAACTTAGCTTTGGAGTTGCAACTCTGCAGTAAGGAGGATTCACTGATTCACTGTCCCAGCTTATCCATGAAAGCAGCTGATGCTGAACATTGCTTACCTTCAGTGCAATAAGGATGATCATTTACAACTAAGGATTTGCTCGTGCAGAATTTTAAACAGAGTATGTCTAGAGTACTGGATCCTTTGGAGTGGATGGAATGTGGTGGGAGAAGGCTTCGGTTTTTACCCTGCACTGGGGCTTGCAGTTGTTACCAAGGAAAAAAGCTGCCTGTCAAAAAAGCAGTGGAATTTTCTGCATTGTTTCAGGTCCTGCAGCTTTTGTACCCGAGGTACAAAGGATCTCTGTAAAGACCTCAACCTGAATGCAGCAGCATTTAGCACCTTAGACTCTAATTTCACTTTCCAAACAGTAGTGACCAGCTTCCACCTCACGCTGAAGTGCATGCTTTCTTTCAGAGCCTTCATTCCTTCCTCTCAGGATGCGTACACTATTGCTTTACTTGTGAAATCGACAACCACTCACAGCTTAAACCAACATCCCCAGGCACAAGGAACAGACCAGCCTCTTGAGAGCAGAGTGAGCCCCACTAACCTGCTGTTCTTTGCTGTTGCAGGGTGCAGACAGGTTTCATCCTGGGGCTAAGGTCAGCAAGGCAGCACACCTCTCCTCTGTGTTGCAGCAGCAAGTGATGGCTGTTGTGGGGTCTGGGAATGAACTATTCCTCCTCTTGTGCCAGCAAAACCAGTAGGCATTCTCAAAGCAGGCTGTGGGCCATAAAACACAACGCTGTGATTGTGGTGCACCTGATAGCTCAACAGCTCACACCTGGGATGGGACAGACTATTACAGAGCAGTCAGCTTT